TAGTAAGTTGGGGAGATCTGACATCATCAATACAATCAAATAAACCGCAAATTGAGAAGCAGAAGACTCAATCGCTGGTAAAATGTATTTATTCCCCTGAAGTTTCAATATCAGTCGCCGATTCGTCATCAGAGACATGATTAGCAGAAAGGTTCTCAGAGCTAATAAGTATAATTAAGTAGTTGTCCTACTAAAACTGTTGTTATAGGGAATTTTCGGGTGGGGAAATAGGATAGTTGTTCCACGTGGACATGTGCCTTAAGGTCAGTTCAATGAATAAAATAAACAAACCCAAATGTGTTTCCAATCGTTTCCATAAATGTCGATTTTTACATTTCATCAGTTAGGCATTCTACTTTAGTCTACGTCGACTTCAAAATACTTCCTATAGTGTCCTTAACTAAAAGCGACTCCAGAAGAACCGAGCGTCCGGGATGAGTGGCAACCTACTAAATTAGATGGGAAATTCCCGAATGAGAGAAAAGTTCGCGTTCTACGTACAGTCCTGCAAGTCCTGCAAACGACTTTCATGACGAAATTTAAGTTGGTAGTTTGGCATGTAGTTCGATCGGTTATTTTGATCAACTGAGTGGATTTGATTATTATTAATGCATTAGTTTGGAAAACTGCTATCTTAGTTAAAGTTTTGGAGCAAAATAGGCACTCATTTTGGCTAAATCATAAATAAGTTTATAGATAAGTTTAAGTTTAAATAAGTTTAAGTCATCAAACAAATTTCCTATGCTATAAGGTATGACAAAACCAAAGATTTTACTAATATGCATTGTGCTGTGGGACAACTGCAGAATAAGAAAAACGGTGGAATAATACTCCCTTCTAGAACTGGAAAGTTTTGTGCGAAGTTGATAAAATGGAAGTGAAGCCAACTTAAAGGAATCGCATTTATTTTTCAGAATCAAGTAAAAATTTAAGTTTTAAAAGTTACATTTTGCTTTTCTGTAAAGTTTTGTATCATAAAGTGCAGTAATAAGTTTTTATGACAAAAGTGTTTTACTCCGCCGCTAAATATGAGCGCATAAGCAAACTTTGCCATATATGTTACCGTGAAGGTGTTGATAAGAAGGCCTTATTAAATGTTAGTCAGGTAGAAATATATATTTTTGTAAACTACGCGTCCACCTTATGTATTATTAAGCATAAACCTCATAAGAGAAGCAGCCGACAGGAAGGCACGAGAGGCAAAATCTATCGCGATAATCTTCGGTACGTTTTGGATCGAAACCAGACTGGGATAAGGTCCCGATCGGCAGTCCACTAGGGCCCACATACGTGGCTGTTTTTATGGGTCATCTAGCTGAAAAGACGTCGCCTAGACATAATATGACAAAACTGTACACAGAGTACGTGGACGACATATTGATGATTGTTGATTCTAAGGAAACAAATGATGACTTCCTCAATTTTATGACTACCCTACATCTGAATATTACATTCCCAATGGAAACAGAACAGCTTAACAAGCTATCCTAAACAGGCTTCGTCACTTTTAGAGAACACAGTGGTACAATACGACACTAGGTTTTCCACGAAATTCCAAGAAAGTGCTGTACCTGAATTTCCTGAATTGTGTACCAATTTAGGGGAAAATAAATCTTCTGCATACCTTCTTTCAACGAGCTCCAGTGAGACCCTAACTGTAGACCTTATTGGTCATCTGCGTGCGTGTGATAATTGTGCACTTATGTATTCACGGCTTGGGTCTTAATTGATGCGGCACTTGCTTGACACTTCGAGCTTGACTCTCTAATTGCCACAATTGCCTGCTCAGCGTCGCATGCGGGTCTGATAACTGCGCGAAAATTATGCCCCATGTCGTCAGAGTTGATGTTGCCCCAGGTCCTTCCCGCATGACTGGTTCTCGTGCTTAGGAAACTTCTCAGCACACCGTATGTGAACGCGAACTCGTTGCATTTGTCGATGGACTGGGGGCCTGAGAAACATGACTCGAGCGGCTCGTGGCTCATGCACTTGTCATCTCTTGCGAGAGGAATAGGATGAAACGGAGAATCGCTTTTGGAACGCCCAAATCCACAAGTTCCTAAAGTTCTGCATCAAGACGTACTTTACCTGCAAGTGAACAATCTACGAGCAAGTGAAGGGCATGCCAATGGGTTAGCCCATTTCCGGACTCATAGCAAAGGCGGTCCTGCAACGGTTGGAGTCGCGGGTTTTCTGACACCACAGACCGAAATTCTGGGCTCGGTATGTGGACGATTACTTCGTCGTAATTGAGCGGGATCAGGTGGTGACCCTCAAGGAACGTCTAAACGCCATCTTCCCGGACAGTAAATTTACGATGAAGGAAGAAGAGAACAAGCAGCTGGCCTTCCTGGATGTCGTCATTTGCCGCAAAGACGGTGGTGCTCTACAAACTAAAGTGTTCAGGAAAGCAGCCAACACTATGCAAATCCTGAACTACAACAGCAACCACCCAATTGGTCACAGAAGTAGCTGTGTAAGAGCGTTTAACCGGTGCGTTGAGACGCATTGCAGCGAAATGGAAGACAAAGTTGCTGAATTATAACACCTTCGAGGGGTACTGAGAGCGAATTGTTACCAGCGCAAGTTTATCAACCAATGCATACGCAAACGAGAGAAGAATCCGCATCCAACTGGCCCGACATTTTCGCGAGCTCTACCGTACGTGAAGAATGTATCGGAAGCGGTCAGCAGCCTACTCACCCCATTTGGAGTTGGAGTCGCGCACAGGCCAGGAACAACCATCAGGCGCCGTGTCATGAGACCGAAAGACCCACTGTCACGAAAGGAAACGACTGGAATTTTGCACAAAACAACACTGTCGGAGAAACTGGAAGATTAATCCGGACGCCAATGGCCGAGCATACAGTGGCGATGAGAAAGAAAGACGGCAACTCCCTGTTTGCAGTTCACTCGACGGGACATGGCTACATTTTTAAGTTTGACGATGTCAAAATCCTCGCAAGAGGTGACAACCGCGAGAACTGCGACCTACTGGAGTAATGGTTCTCAGGCTCCCAGTCTATTAAGAAGCGCAACAATTTGGCTTTGTCATATGGTGAACTGAGAAGATTCCTAAGCAAGAAAATCAGTCACGCGGGAAGGGCCGGGTGCAACAACAACAACTCTGACGACAGTGGGCATAATTTTCACGCGGTTATCAGGCACGCATGCGAAGCTGAGAAGTCAATTTTGGCACTAAGTGAGTCAAGTGCGAACTGTCAAGCCAGTACCGCATCAATTAAGACCCAAGCGGTGGCTACAGGAGTGAACAATTATTACACACACGCAGCTGACCGCTATAAACTATAAACACTGCGCAGCCTGTGCATGTTTTCACTCTATCTGCGCATGACCATGACTACGTTATCATCACCTATGATTAGGGATTCCCGAGGGAATCCAAAACCTCAGGCAAATAAAATTATTTTCCCAGTGATCGCATCTTCTATTTCTCTAGAGCCAAAATGGATGAAACATTTAGTTCTAAAAAGCCCATAATTATAACATTTCTCGAAACGGGTGATGGCGGTCCAAATACAATCAACCTATCCGTGCGGAGTGCCATAGAAAAAAAAATAAAACGCCGCAAATTTATTCTTCTTAGGCCCTCCTTGTACTCCTTCAGTAAAACGGACAAAGGCTGCTTTGCCGTTGCCCGTCAGGTTTGATTGTGTGTATGTATGCACATGCACTTGCGAATGTAAGTACATTGGGCGTACGTTAAGGCAACTGGCTGCCAAAGATGGCGAACTTTCGCCTTATTGGCTTTTTAAGCAAGAAGACAGAGTACAACCCCCCTCAATTTCTAAGCATCTGCGAGACAGCGGTGATCCCTGTCACGTAAAAACCGCTTTTCGATAATTATTCGCTAGCGAACAAATCGAAGTTTGAGCTTATTTGAAGTGAACATTCATACTGCTAGATAAACCCCACCCAATCCAGAATTCATTCTATTCATCAATTCCTGTTGTGTAGGTTTCTTTTAAATTTATATCGTTGCATATACTGTCTTCCCCAAATTATGAACTTCGTCTCTATGGGTGCAACACAAAATGTTTTCTTCAATAATCTCCATTTACTTAACAGTGACAGCGCAGGAAATTTTAGACTTGAGTAATTTTTCTTTTTGCTTATTGCTCCATCATTGCAGTTTACTTATCAACGAGCAAATCCCTTTATTTATAAATACAGTAAAGATATATGATATGATTAAACACGTCCTTTTTAAATTGCATAACTGCTTTCTTATTCCGTGGTTTCAAGCACGATTGTGATATCAATGTGGCGTAAGCGATGGTTCTCATCAAAAACGTTCGATATAATCCATTTTCGTACTTTAAGCTTTCGCGTATACACAAGCGTAAGCTGCCTGTAAGAAGGGTGACGCCTTTTGCATGTGGTGACCCATAGCTATAAGACGGGTCAAAATTTGAACTTCGCAGCTGCGTAGATAATCGCCCACGCCGTCAGCAAAACAGGCCGATCGATAATAAATTAAATATAGAAAGTACTAGAGAATTAATTAAATTTCAAGTTACTCCGAACATACTGGATTGTAGTTATGAATCAGAAATTATTGCCATTTACATTGAGTATTTTTCTAAAAACCAATCAAATTCCTCGCCTTTATTCATATGTTTTTTGATGGATCGCTCCTGTGTAGCATGTCACATATATTTTCTAAATCAACTCAATTCTGTTCTTAATGACATCTATTTGTGATTATCAGCTGATTTGATCTTAGTGACGCCTTCGCATTAGTATTAACGCTAGATCAAATTTTCTTCAATATTCCAACCCAAGATAGGAGCAGCCAAATTCCAAAAAACCAAATCCAAATCTTTATTTCCAGAATATTGATTGGATGCACCACAATATGCGATCACACGCCAGTTAAGCAAAAAACTATCCAACCAAAAAATAAATTTGAAAGGCAGCTTCAAATGGCAGCAGGTGTCCCCATAATGACCAAAAAGAAGAAAGGTGAAAACTTCCTACTACCATTGACATTGTTCTACTCCGCGCTGATTAATTGCCTGTTGTAAAAGCATCCCCGTGTTCGCCACAGCCCATTTCCTCCAGCCGTTAAATTCTGCTTTGGGAATAGAACGCTTAATGTCGTCTATGACTGAAATGATGTTTTGAATTCTGAGTTCGGCAAGCTGCAGGATGTGCGCTGTAGGATCACTATTTTCCAACATCTTCTCCTCCAACTTGAGGTTCAGCACCGCCCCCGGAATGGTCATCTTAACATGATCTGCACTAGTGCGCAAAGCGTAATTCATAAACGTACGTGATATCCTGAAATAAAAAGGACACTACTTTACAACTGAGAACCAAAGTAAAAATATGAATGAGTTTGCTAAATAGGAAATTAACCACACATGGTTGACTTACATGAGGTCAATACGAATATCGACACGTGCAGTCAGAATGGTACACCAGACATCCTTGACGAGTGCTGCATTTTGAACAGTACGGCACTCCGGCTTTGCTTCTGCCCTTCTCATTGTCATTTTGAATATAGTCCAGACATCCGAAACGTCTGACTTGTCCATTGTCAATGACTGACTCGGATTCAGTAGCTTCAGCGCGGCATCTGCATAATTCACCCTACCGCCAATTCGCGGACATTGTTCTGGTCCTGCATGGCATTACAAAAAATCAGTTTGTACTTTCATGTTGTCCACATCGTCCACATTAACCATGGCAGCATTTATGATAACATAAATACTTAGGGGGTTCACTTACCTGAATTGCTAAAACAGGCAAAACCCGAAGTAAGAGTAAACAGCAATACAGAAATCAATGAGAGCATTTTTGACTGAGGGGTGAACAATGCAGCGTTGGCGATGGTCGTGCTTTTATACACACTTTTAACCAATCAGCTTTCACCTCCTCGGGCAGCATAAGTGTATGCTACAGGAGTGGTTTGTTTAAAGAAGGCTCATGCAGGAGAAAAATTAATCAACTGAAAGGACAAGGCTTAATAGTGTATGCTGATGCCACTTCTAATATCAAGTGTGCTTTAATAATATGGGGAATATTCTTAAATGCGAGGCTGTCAACGAGGGTATGGTGTCTTGCACGATTCCGAAAAGTCAAAAGCGTGTGAATTATAGCACCTTTTACTTTTCCCAGTTTACGTATTCTCTGGACGATGTTGGTTTGTGTGTGGCGGACGTCGAATTCTGGTCAATTTTTGCAACCAGTTTCATAATAAATTGGGTTCACCTCGAAAAACCACTAGTGATTTTCGAGGAAGAGCGATGTCGTAGTATGTATCAGCGTGAATAACAAACGCAATTCAAAATGAAAATATCTCGTGTGTTGTTAGGTATGAAGGATGAAAATAAACTAAACTGCAGTGTGAAATTGTGGAACCTGTTTCTTAAGCAACACGTTATAGTTGAAGTAACACATTCCATTATAAAAATACTCGTATGACTAGAATGGCTTCAAGATCGAAAACCGTCAAACATTTGGTATCAAATT